AAGCGCTATGTTCAATTTGGCGCGCAGCTATTGAAGACAATATTTTTTTAGACTAAATAAGTAAAAATATTTTGTGAATATTACTTTCTTCATATGAATTATATCACATTTTTGTTTGATTGTATTTTTGAAATAAACGAAGTTCTTTTTCTGTCAGTAAACTGCTTTTGTTACAAATAGTATAAATAAGCAATGGGAAATAAGGCAAAATTTGTTTTATTTCCAACCTTTGTTTGATATAAATCGAACAAGTTTTGAAAATAGGATTTATAGACCTTTAAAACGATGTAGAACAGTATATTGTTGAACTTAGCTTGTGGGGAGTTTTCATCGGTTAAATTTTAATGAGTCCCTATTTTTCTTGATTTTTTGAACTTTGATCATCGTTAATTTCAAAAATGTCTATGAAAGTTGATAAATATGCGGTATTTATCTAAAATAACTTTTATTTTCGAATAAATTGGTACCTCATCCAATGCAATTGCATAAATATTGTCGAAGTTAAGAAATTCAAGCAGAAATACGGCCTTAAATTTATATGTGTGTATGTGCCGGACGTGCAGATTTTTTGAGCAGAAGCTCAACAATATTTACTCAAAATTTAAGCAAAAAAATTGGTTTTCATAAAATTTTTGGAAAAAGAGCGTGGCACCGCCCACATTTATCACATATGCGTATCTCAAAAACTACTTGACCGATCTCGACCAAATTTTATAAACACATTCAGCTTGGCCTCCTTAAGCACCGTGTTGATTTTTTTTTAAGTGGACAAACATTGTTCCCCCTGAAATATAGATAGCCTTGATTTTTTTGAAATTACCGATATGTTGGTGGAGCACGTGGTTTTTGTCCGATTTCAAAAAAATCCTCCTTTCAAAACTTGTTCGATTTTTAAAATCGGATGGAAAATAGTCAAACTATTAATAGATAAGTGCATCAAGTATGAAAATAACGGTTTGTTTGGTATAAAAAATGGAGCGTTCAGGAACTATACGGGACCTATTTTCACGTTGTACTCGACCATACCTACAACCTACACTAGGTTTTGTTTCGGGTGTATTTCATGGCTTATTTTTGTAGCGCCGTGTTATTGAAGGTGAGGAAAGATTCGTTTTCCAATTATTTAAAAAAAATTTGCCGAGCCAACGTTGGAATGACCGCTACCTCTTCATCTCGTTTGCGTAAAAATTTCATAGCTGTTACCACTACCACCACTACCGGTTACAACTTGTCGCTAGAACAAAAGAGGTTTTAGTTTTTATTATGGGAATATATCGAGCCCTAACCGCCAAAATAACGTAAGCGACATTTTTTCCAAAATTTTCTTTTTGATGCAGAAATGCATATAGATCTAGGAATATTTCTGCATCAAAAAGAAAATTTCGAAAAAAATGTCGCTTACGTTGTTTTGGCGGTTAGGGCTCGATATGTAAATTCGTAACTTTTAAGCCTTTTTCTCGAGTTTTTTGATTTCTTGAGTTATGACCGCATTGAAGTAAATGATGGTTATGTTCATTTACCCCATGATTCAATAAATAAAGGTTTGCTCATTAGTGACATTAGAGTTTTGACACTCCCCTAACTCCCTTACAAAATCTTTGCACACACACACTCGAACCCACACAAAGTGCCTTGCTAAGGGAGCCCATTTTGTCACGAGGGAGCGAGAAAAATGTTTCCAGAGCAAACCTTTTATTACTGAATCATGCATTTTATATTGGACAATGTTTATTGGGTATTGTTTTTTTTTTAATTTTTCAATGTCATTGAAAGAACGAAATTATTTATGTAATAAAAAAAAGAAGTTTTTATCGTCGATATTTTTTGGTATTCGGGATACTTACTCAGTAGTATGTACTTGTCAAAAAGTATCAACTTTTCGATACTACTCAGTACTCGTGAAAAGTATCGATATTCTGTACTCGATACTCGTATCGTTCTATCACTTATTTTAAGCTTTTCCACTTCTCAAAATAAGCATGTGACTAACTCAGTAACCTGCAGCTAGATTCCAACATTCGCCATTCCTAATTGTGACCGCCGAAAATTACCAAAAGAATAACATGCTACTTGTATTTATATACATGACACTCAAACTGCCAGATTTGGCTGATACTTTTAGTCCCACTGCTTCTCATTTAGAAAATTTTAGCGACGATTTTAGCGTACCGATTGTCATAATTCTACTTCAGGTCTACCCTAAGTTGATAATAAATAAAAAATAAACTCCAGATGAGTCGTCCGGAGGTAGCGTCAGACTAGGCCGAACATGCTTTGAGGTGTCATCAAGTTATTACTTTAATAAGTTCTGAATTTTTTGCACATGCAGCTATTCACGGGTTGATCGAGGAGATGGTATGTATTTAGGCACTATGCGTTAGTACAAAAATCTGTAGTTAACTGCCGATTCTGAGTTAACTACGCACTGTGAATTTGGCTCTTAATGATTTGCTCTTAATTAGTTCGAAAGTGTACTGCCTCATCACAGTGTGTCGAAAATGGTTTACAAAATTCAAATGATATTTTTTAAACCCACACATCCATTCAGTTATCGCCACTACTGGGTTTTCGTTCAACGTTCTTTCGTACCAACACACTTCACGTACTATGTAATACATCGTCGTTAATACTGTAAAATGTTCCATGTCAAGTATTACTTCTTGAGCTTAAATGATCGATTGCCTGTATATAAACGCATCTGTAAATCTCTCTACATTCATTCACGAAGACCAATCTATCCGCTTTCGCCTCATGATGTTGAACAATTAATAGACGTGTTAAAGTAAAGTTAACAAATCAACTCCAGCACAAGAAGTAATAATTAACATAGAACATTTTGAAGTATCACAGACGTTATGTACATGCATATACATAGATATACAAACTTCAATATACACGAAGCGCTTACACAATACCGACGCCGCACAGTGCGCAAGCCGGATGTCCGCTGGCGGACAATGGCCGCGGGCCATCATCGTGCTGCAGTGCAGCCGTTGCCGCTTCCATTTCCGCTTTATATTCCGGGGTTTGCAAGGCCGGACACACGGGCATAATAATGACACGCGGATCGACAGATTCGGCCGGTGGCGCTGCCGAAGTCGGATTTGCTTTGGCCGATTGAGGCAGACCAGGTTTTGGTGAAGCATTCGAGGCCAAGGTGGGTTGCTTGGATTTTATTTCCACTGGTTTATCGAGCGGTTGGTTTTGCTGTGGATGTTGTTGGTGAGATAGCGGTGTACGGCGTTCATTGCCGCCGATGGCGTGGCTCTGGGTCCAATAGAAATTCGCGGGAGACGGTGGTTCTGTTTTCGAAAATGATGTTAATCAGCAATTAGATCAAACAAAATTTGTTTGTAATAAAGTGGATATCTGTTTCGTATATTGGTTAATCCCCTTTTCCGAAGATACGTACTCCTTTCGCCCCTAATTTCCTAATTCTAATAGTCCCATGAACTTGTTTGTATTTTAACTACATTATTTATTCCCACGAAAATACAAAGTGGGTCGAATGTACAAAGTTCTCATACGACTTCTATACAAACATGCTAATGTGCGCACATACACTCATAAAAACATCCATGCAGGAAAAGTCGAAAACACGACAAATTTCTATATGTAGGTAGAACCTGTTGCCAGATATTTTGATATCGATGGTCCTCTGTTAACTCAAAATTTAATTTATTTCAGTAGAGCTAATTAAAGCTTTTGCGTTTAATAATTTAGCAATAATGTGTCTTGAAGTCTTTTTGTAGGGAAAAGTTGTAAGCTTTCAAATTGTGACTGCTTTGCAAAGACTGAAAAAGACGAAATAAGTAACTAAGTCGTCAAGCGAAAATAAGTCCATAAGTATTATTGAATAACGGCATAAAAGGAAAAAAATATTAATTTTCCTACAAAAGCATTACTAACTGATCGACAGTAGTTAGTGTTGCCTACTTTCTGACAAATCCAACAATTGCGTCTCCTGTCGGATTAATAGCAGGTAAGCCTATGTCGATTGTGAACAGGAAAATATGGTTATTTATCAACATGAAATTTCGAACTGTACCGTTATGGCAGAGGACCATCGATATCTATATACATATGTACATGCATTAGTGGACGAGTTGAACAAACGTAGGAAGCAACTTTCTTTTTATACATATAATACGTTTTAATGAAAATTGATAGCAAGAATGGCCAATTTCTGATATACTTTACATATCGTCACCTTAGTACACAAAGGCCCTAACCAACAGTTTTTTTTATTTTACAGGAGAAGCAGAAAACATTATAAATGTGTATCGAAAATAGGTAGGGCTTTTTAAAAAGTGGCATGTAACTCCGTTGTGTTTAGTACTAACACTTCAAAATTTCTATTGAAAGTTTACTTGAATACATCCTACCAAATCCTGGAAAAACACAGGTAGGGCCTTTGCGAATTAAGGTAACGACATATAGAAAATTTTCGGTACAAATCGTTGCTCAAAGGATGTATGTATATTTAATTGCTTTTATTTATATGCCAACCAAGGCGAATTTTTACAAGGTGGTATCGGCTGAGCAAAAAAAAAATTACAACAACAAATTATACACACAACGGCGGAAAAAAAACGTCCACAAAAGTACAACAAACACATGATTTTGACATTCAGAAGGGCCGCGGCGAATTCTAGAATTACCACCCTGTATAAATTCACCTCGATGCCAACGCTATTGTGGGCAACGCAAAATTTCAGTAAATTCGCTTCAACATTGATGCGGTGGAATTAACTATCCTAGTACAGGTAGAGAAAAGAATCGTCATACAACCTTTTCATAAACGATTTTCTTTTGTAAATAGTTTCAAACTTGGGACCAATCAGAATCTAAAGGACCCTCAACTGGCAAAGAAAGAAATAAAAGTTCATAAAAACATTTTAACATTATCCAAAAATTACAGCAAATGGTTTTTTTTTCAGTTGCTTCGAACGTTATTATATAGTTAATTTAGTGCATTGAAAAGTTGAACTGTGACTTACGTTATGAGGCGTTCACACTCATGGCAAATGTTCTGGCCGGTCGGCAATCCGCCGGTACTTGGAGGCTTTGAGGAATTTACCGGAGCGCTTACATGCCTTGTAGCAGATGGCTGATAGTGCTGTTGTTGTTGCTGTTGTTGTTGAGGTTGTTGTTGCTGATGGTGTAAGTGTTGGTGTTGGTTTTGGTGCTGGTGTTGGTAATCTTGTTGGAAGGCTGTGTAATTTCAGGTTTTTGTGTATAGTTGTGGAGTTAAAGGTGTTTGTAAGCCAGATATATGCGAAGATGAGTTGTTGAGAAGTTTGATGCCAAAGTTTATGAAAGTATAAACATGTAACGAAAAGATTTAGAAGAACACATACACTTTGTTAACAAAATGCAACAAATAAGTGCACAGCAGATGTTAGTGAAACACTTGCCGACAAATTAGCAATTGCGATTTTTTGCTTACTTTCATACACCCAACTAACAAAAAATGCATAAACATAACTGACTTATAAACGTAATCAGATACCTATGTGTATTCGATTATATTAGTAATGTAAATTAATATAAATATGTTTATATCGACCAAAAACAAACGCTACATAGCTACGTTGGAACTACTCAGGTTCAAGAGTAAACACCTTTCAAGGTCAAGTAAATAAATTTTTAAAAATTAATGCTGCCAGATCTACGCTTCTAGAAATTTGACATCTCATTTGCTAATTTCCTTCATCAAGTGCTTATTCTGTGAATTTTTATAGAAGTTCCTTAAATGCCTTAAAAACAACCTTTTTATTTACTCAAAAATACTGTCTGCTGTAAATAGATTCTCGCCATTATTTATCGTGTACAGTATTTGAGCTAAGGCATAATAACATGAGTATATTTCATTACCTGGAGTCGATTGTCCAGTTTCTTCTTCGCGTAAGAACTTCAATACCTCTGACTTGTCGGGCTGATATTCCTTTTCGTTTTTCTTGAAGTTGACACTGAAAAAAGTTTAATTTTATTTAAGTACTCAATTAATAATAGACTATATTATCTATGTGCAAGTTTTAATGCAAGCTAAGAGTTTTCTACAAGGGGCGGTGGTTACACATCAGGAGGTCGCCTCAGCCAACCGTAATGAAAATTAGTTGCCCAACAAAGTCTGAAAAGACGAGCATGATACAATTTTCAAACATTCGTGCGCTTCTAAACCTCGACTTTCACCTCCCACCAAACAGTTCCCATCTCATCATGCCTCAAATCCGCAACCGAACAAAGGCATTTTGTTACGTGCAATGTGAAATAAAATTAAACGTACCTTAGTAAAAGAATTATATGTGAATCAGTAACGTTCACATAACGGTTGTTTGCAACAGCCAAATCGAATCGAGATAGATATAGACAGATTTATACATAAATGCTCAGAATGCAAAAAGAAATCGATGAAGCCGTCCCGTCCGTCCGTCTGTGCGCATGATAACTCGAGTAAAAATTCAGATATCTTAAAGAAACTTGGTAACTGTACTTCTTTTGACAATAACCACGGCTACTCCCGATATAAGGTAGTTTTCAGATATACGAAAACTGCGATATTTTAGTGATTACTGAACCTAATTTATTCAAAATGTATATCTCTTGGGGAAAAATAAAAATATTATGAATTTTTGCCAAATAGTCGCAGCCACGACCACATATGATTACTCGGTAAAGGCACCACCAATTTGTCCCAAATTTGGCACAGTTATTTGCCTTGGTAAAACATTCCAAACGGCTGAAAATTTTTAAAATCGGACACCATTTTTTAGCAGAAAATACCAGGGATCATAGTGTCCTGGTTGGGCGATTTAGCGCCAATTTGGCAATTTATTTTATTTATTTGAGAAGATTACAGTATAAACTAAGTTTATATCTAATTGCAAAAAGGAAAGCAGTAACAGCAGCAATGGCCTTCAACTGCTTGGGTGGTGATAGAATGCCTATTTATATAGGTGTGTTTATCAATATAATGTTAATTTAAATGCTTTCGTACATATAAAGCTTATGTGAAAGAACTATATCAAATAATAAAGTCTGGCCAATTTTAAAAATGTTAAAATGTTTTCAATATTGGTAAGCGTGGGGTTGGATAGTAGGGATAATGGGTTGGTATTTTGGAATGAAAGGTATCGGGAGGCACTTAGTTTAGGGCAGTCGCATAAGTTGTGTAAGATGATATTCGTCGTGATGTGGCGTCGAGTATGCAATCGCAAGGATGGGTTCTCGAGACCCATCAGGTGGCCGTGGGACAACTTCGAATGTCCTATTCGCAATCTTATTAATTTTGTACAGTCTAATCTGCTTATCGCTTCGGGAATGTGACTTAGATAATCGACAAGTGAAGTGCGATTGGTGTTGATGGCTCTGTACCAGTTTGATGTGAGGTTCCAGTTTCCTTTGTTTACTTGTTTTTGTATAGATTTGAGATAGTGTTTAATGTCAGAGAAGTTATGGTTGGGTGTTGATATTAGTGGAGTAGAGTTTGCGAGTTTGGCTGCGCTATCTGCTGTTTCGCTGCCAATTATTTGTACATGACCTGGAATCCAGATGAGGGTTATCCTTGGAAATGTGTCAATTCTTATTTCCGTGCAGTAAAAGTTATTATTTTGTATGTTTGATATGGCTTTAAGGGAAGATAAGGAATCTGTACATATGGCAAATTTTCCTTGACTGCTTATTGCATACTTGGTTGATTCATGGATAGCGACTATTTCAGCCGAAAAAACTGAGCTATATTCAGGAAGTAGACCTAACTTGATAATGTGATTCTCATCGGTTACACTGTAGGAAGCAAACCCACTTGATTTTGAACCATCAGTATAGATGAAAGAGTGGAGAATATATTGTTGTTTTAGGTCAAGGAAAAGTGGACGGAACTGCAGGGGCGGTGTGGTCGATTTCGCGTGATTGTGCAGGGCGAGGTTAATTGATTCCGATTTTAGAAGCCATGGAGGGGGGACAGATCGTTTGGAGGTTAGTTTGATTGGGGAGTTGGGAATTTCGAGCTGGGAGCAGTTTTTTATAATTCTTAGTAGTGTTGATGGGATCTTTTGTTTTTGTGAAGTTTGTTAATTATGTGAAAAAGTGACGTGTCTCGACTGTGGAGTATTGACTTGGATAGTTTATTAAGCTCTAGCTGTCTATTGTTTTCGAAAGTAAGAATGCTAGCTTCAAAAACATATTGTTTATTGGGGAGGATCGAAATGCTCCAATGGCGAATCTTATTTCTGCATTAAGGGCGGTTTTAAGTTTACCGAGGAGGGATTTGGAGCAGAAACCGAAAATAGGTAGGCCGTAATTTAATTTGGATATGACAAGGGTTTTTACTAAATGAAGTAAGGAAAGGGAAGAACAGTTGAATTTATTGCTAGATAAGCATTTTATAACGGCTAATTTATTTGTGAGTGTTGTGTTGAGGTATTCTTTATGTTTATTCCACCTATATTTATTACTGAAAATTACATCAAGAACTTTTAAATTGTCCACTTCTTGTATATGGATTTTATTAGCTGAGACTGTACAATTACAGTTTATTTTGCGACAAATATGCATAAATTTGCATTTTGTTGCAGATAACATTGCGCCTGAGTATTCACACCAGGTGGCAATTTTTTTTTGGATATTTGCGCGTAAAAATTCAGGAAATCGCCTTTGGCGATTTTTTTCCTTTAATTAAATTTTTTGTGCGCTATCATGTAAATGCGTCGAAACACATCATAAGTAGGTAATGAGTTCGAGTCAATTTGCGAATAGGTGCGTTCCAGCGATTTTTGGACTAAAACCTGTAGAACTGTCAAAAAGCAAAATATCTCTCACAAAAGAGAGCAACGGTCAAAGAACTGAGAAAACCTGCTGGAATGCATAAAACCATTTTTCCTACAGCTATATAAATATCAGATGTTTGTTTACAGATTATTTATTCAGGCCAAAATTCTTCCACACAACATTTTAGTTCTCAAAAGATTTCGTTATTTTGGTACAATTGGGTTCTATACTGCTAAAAATATTTCTTATAAATTGCATCAGCTCTTTCGCATGTTGTTTACGAATGCAACACTGCTCTTAGTTCTACAGTTTTCATAAATTTTCAGGAAGAAAAATTTCGGACTAAATCCTGTTACTTCATACTGAGAATAAGCATATTTTACTCTCACGAAATTGTTGAATATAATTGTTATAAGGCCATAAATAATAAAAAAAAAAACAAATAACTTAAGGACGAGCACACCTAAAAGTTAAACACTCTATAAATAGAATTATTTACAAAACCAACAACCACATGATAAAATTTAAACAGCACTGGAACAGCTGCGCTTGATTGTAGTTTGCTTAACAAATGAAAAAGTGGAAAAAGCAACAATAATTAAGGCGAACTTAGCACAGTGCGTAGGCAACTGACTGAGTCAGCTGGGGTCGTCGGTTCGAATACCGCTGAAGAAGTCTGATAGGGAAATGTGGTGATATCCGAAATAGCTATCACTTCTACAATTTTTTCAAATTATTGTTGCTTTTCCACAATAGCTTTTCATTAAAACGTCCTCAAGCTCAAAAAAATGTTTGAATATAATTGTTATAAGGCCATAAATAACAAAATAAAATCAAAAAAATTGCTCTCAGTTACATGAAATTACTGGAAATTTATCTGCTGGAATGCTTTTCGGACTAAATCCTACAAAACCTGCAAATCGTACTGCTGCTGGAACGCCACTATTACTAAACCACCATTTGTGACCGCTGAATGTGAAATTTGTAATTTCATTTGTGGAAAGAGCTGATCTCGCCTCATTATAGCTTTTATTTTATTTTTAGCGCCGAGCGCTTAAAAGTGGATTGTGCGATTAATCAATTAATATCAGTTACAATAAATTTATTAGTTGCGCAGTCCTATTGGGAAATGTGTTAATACAATATTTTTTAAAAGTATAAGTAAGTGATGTAAGTGATTTGTGTTATTTGTTATTACTCTGAAGGCATTATATTCGTTTTCAGTTTTAAAAAGATCGGCAAAAATCCTCCGGCTGAACCCTCCACGAGGGCGCTGACTGGAAATGGGCACTACAGAGGATTCTGTGCGATGTCAGAATAGTGCTCAGCTCAGGTACTATGTGCTAAACTCCCTAATAGCTAAGTCATATGGAAATGGTTTTTGATCGTGGCTTGGAGGTCTGAAGGGGCTGGATAAAGGCGTCACGCGCACCGTACCGAGGATCAGCCAGGCTGGGGGCCCCTAAATAGCCCAGTCGCGAACGGAGCCCTCTGGGAGGCGGCCACACCCAGGATGTAAGTAGGCCTTACCTGGGCATCTTGGATCTCTGCCCGGGTGGACGAACCCCTTTCTCCGCATCCTGTAGGAACAAGTATGGACAATTATAAAAAAACAGGAAACAATAACAACAAAAACAGCAACAACAAAAACCAAAACAAATTATAAAGGGACCGGCCCCCCTTAAGGCGTCGGAAGGGTTTCGGCCCACTAAAGAAGGGACTCAAGCGATGAAGAGTACCTCCACCAGCCGTAGTGCGGTGACAAATAGCGGGAAACCAAGGCCAATGGTGAAACCGGGCCAAGCTCTTGCAATAGTGAAGGAAAGCGGCGGTGGGGATGCTCAAAGGAGTCCACCCCGGGAAACTTCTGGCACCAGTGGATGCCAACCTGGCATGCAGACTGCCCTTCCGCGACACCCACTGCCTTCACGAGACAGAGAAAGCTGGCTGCACGAATCCTGCAAAGGTTCACAACAACGCCTGACCTGTGTAGCAAGGCAAAGTAAGAGCATGTGAAGGAGATCCTCATAGAAATCGGCTGGGCAAAGGCAGTCCTGTCCGACTATTGCAAGCTGGAGCAGCCGCATGCGCCCTCCAGTAAGCGCAATAGATCGGGGGAAAGTACGCCCAACAATGCAAAGAGGGTCAGAACGCAGGGGTCTTCTTTTGCTGAAGTAGCCAAGTAGCAGATCCTGCTTGG